CGGGCCGGGGGCCTCGGGAACGCGAGCCAGGGCGGTGCGAAAGGGCTCGTCCTCGTGCCGGACTCCCCTGCCCGCAGTGGCCTGGGCCGGGCTGCGCCTTGTATTCACCAAAGCGACTTTTCATCCATCCTTACATTTAAAACGATGTTTGCGAAGGAGTATCTTCTTCGGCTGGGATGTTCAAAATGTTAGCCAGCCACCTCCCGCGGTAACTCAGCGGGGTTTGGGCACCTCGCTCCGCTAGGCCAGTGTTTCTCAACCAGTGGGACGCGCCTGGCGGGACGCGAAGGCGTCGACCCAGGCGTCCCATGCGGTGGGAGCGCAGGTCCTGTAGGTGGGACTTCAACTCCTTGCCCGATTGAAAAAAAATCAAAGTTTGCGCTTCAAAGAGATAAATGTGGAACAGTGCAGTTTTGTGGGGTTTTGTTTTTATCATGGTGGGACCAGGTTTTTTTGACAAAATGGTTGGTGGAACAGGACGTAAGGTGCGAAAGGCTGAGTGAGAACCGCTGTACTAGGCTACTTGGATAATCCCAGTCTTAACGCTTCTTCAGTTCATAAAATGTACCTTTTCATAGATACATTTTATTCCGTTTGTGGTAATAAATCAGTCATGACTTTTGTGTAACATTCATTTTCTGAGATTTCTTTGTCAGAATGGTTTTTCTCCCCAAGTATAAATTGTGCTTAATCAAATATCCCTATTTGTTAAAATGAAGTTCCTTCCCAGAGTAAGTAATGTGCTGAGAACTAGCCAGATTAGAGCAGAGGGACTTGTCTTTACTCCGAAGTGAGGATATTGCTGGAATCTGAACTGCGATAAGGGATTATAAATTAGACGTGCTTAGCACTGGAAGGAAAATGTTACAACTTTCCAAGTTAAGCAGGAAATTAGAGCCAGAAATCAACAGTCTAATGCATCTAATTGTCTAAATGAGAAATTGTTAGCTGTAAGTAGGGTTGATATGAAAGCACTATCTTTTCCTTAAAACAAAGCCTAGACCTTGGAGCAATACCTCTCAACCATTTTTTGACTACAGAAGAATAATAGAACAATTATTTTGTTGTAAAGAACATAGAAAGACCACAACAGGGCAAAAGCTTTTCAACCCTATGGATTCCTTTTTTAAATTTCTTGGTTTATTTTGTGAATCACATTTGTACACTTAACAGTGGTACCCTATGGCACCCTTGAAAGGACCCCAAGACATCCTGCTTAGCATATTAGAGCAGGGGTTATCAACTGGGGGTACGCATACCCCTAGGGGCACTTAGAAAGGTCTTCAGGGGTACTCATGGGTGGGCAGACAGGGACAGAGCACACCTTGGGGCACGGCAGCGGCAGCGGCATCTCCCTAGGCGCTTTTGCCTCTTACCCGGGGGAGGGGCGTACCGGGCACAGCTGGCCCCCCCCCAGCGCCTCCCTGCCCGCCCTCCCCCAGCTTGCTTTCCAGATTGGCCACCAGGCTGCCGCAAGGGTCTCAATGGCAGAGAGGGCAAGTGTGTTTCTCTGCCCACTCCCAGGAGCAGGGCTAGGTGGGGGGGGAGCAGCAGCGCCACTCTGCAGGCCATACAGGTGCTGCCCAGCCCAACTGGGGAGGAGTCACACGCAGCGGCCACCACCACCCTGCCTTCCCACAGCTGGTTGCACATGCGGCTCTGCAGGCTGCTGCTGAGCGGTGCACAGTTGGCCAGGCGTGAGGCCCATCAGCAGCCCATAGAGCCATACCTGCAACTAGCCATGGGAAAGCAGGTCGTGGCAGCACGGGGCCATGGGTGGTGGCAGTGGCTGCCATGTGTGAGCAACACCCCCGGCTGCCACCACCAGAAAGGGTACACTTGCTAAAAAAGGTTGAAAACCCCTGCATTAGAGGATCATACACAGCTGAGAAGTGCGGGGGGGTGCAGACACAGTTAAAGCCAGGTATTTCTGATACATTTGAAAAGTGTATTATGCAATACAGCCATACTTATCCTCCCAAATACAGTGCTTTATTAATAATTATATAAATATACTCAGTGTTTTAGACGGTAGAAAATTAATTACTCCTAAATTAAGTTTTCTGTAGGTAGTTTCTGTATAACGAGAATGGGCTAAAACTAATAATTTATGTCTAGATGTATTATTTACTAGTACTATGCAATTTTGTATGCTTTACTGTAATTATAAAATGAACTCTTTAAATGTTCTCAGTATCTAAAAATATAGTTAATTGGAAAAAGAGAAACAAGTGCAACAATTAGTAAAATTTAAATGCAATTTTTTTTTAACAGGCAGCAGAATTACCTTTCATACGTTACTAAAATGAATAAATGCAAGCTGCTGCATTTTTTTTAATGAATCGTAAACTAATAATTAGAATTGTGTTCCAAACCCTCTTTCCCAGTCTTTGGAGTTCTCATGGCTTTCCTTTATCAAAGTGTAAGTATAGATATCCGAGTTTATTTCTAATATCTCCTTAACCACAGCTAATTATTTGTAAGTTTTAATAAATAATGACAAGCAGAGAACTAATCCACTCTTTTAAAAATCAGCACTGAAGGTTACAAATCTGTAACCAGATGAGAGTGAAGTATTTCTAACACCTGCAGCTGTACTGATTACATTTTCATCGTTCCATTCAGATCAGATCTGCCTGTTGAAATCAGTCAAGGGGAGAGAATGCTCCGTGGATGAAATTTACCCCGCTATAGAAAGGTTTCTCAAAGTTCCCAACACACAAGTCCCACAATGGGACTAGGAAATGGGGTTGGACTCAGTGAAGTTTGGGTGGATTATTAGAAATAATACACATTTTTAAATTTTACTAATGTTTCAATGCCTTGTTGTGTTAGTCAAAAATGTCTATGAGGCAACCTAATCCTTTTCCTGAAGATTTTTCATTCTGGAATTTAGCATCAATTGCCTGGTTTGTTCATTACTCATCTCATCTTCAGTATCTGTGGCTTAATTTCCAATTACTCCTCCAACCCTTAACAGTCAAGTCTTAAATAAATTGCTTTTTGTTCAGGAACGCTCTTTAAAAGGTCTCTGCTGGTCAGTTGGTATTTATGACTTTTTGCACTGATATTGGTGTTTATTACCTTATGGAAAATAATGTGGTCATTCTCTTATTGTAATGGCGGGCTTCCAACGCCACATAAACCATCCCTGCTACCTTCCCACCACCTGGGACTGCCTGGGATGGGCTGGCAGCCAGAGAAGGTGGCAGAGATGGTGCACAGGGGACTGAAGCCCACCAAACCCGAGCTTCCCTGAGCACACCCGAGCTTCCAGTGACCGTGCACCATCACTACTGCCTTCTCCTGATAGGGCCCTTGTACATGTGAGGAATATCACTGTAATTTGTTACATAGCAAACTAAAATACATGGGATGTGTTTTAGTTTGCTATGTAAAAAAGGCATTTAAATCGAAATATGCCACCAAACATGTACACTTACAAAATTTGATCATAACATGCCACCGAACATGTACATTGTTATACAGGCAGTCCTCGACTTACATTTCGAGTTACATTTCGCACTTACAATGTTTATAAATTGACACCCTGTTTCAACTTTATGACATCAGTTTCGACTTTACTACACTTGCTCCAATGCAACGCCATGCCAGCAAACAAGTTTGCTGCGTCACTCATCTCCCTGGAGAACATCTGTCCAAACTTCCTTGGACACTTTCTTTAAGAAAGTAGACAAGTCTCCAGAAGAACCTGCAGCCAAGACTTCTGAGAAGACTCCAGCCAAGAACCCTTCAAAAAGTCCAACCAAGAGCGTTTCAAAAAGTCCAGCAAAGTCACCTCAATGAAGTTCTTCCAAATCAATGTGATTGCTATTTACAATATAAATATATTAATGTATCTATATTACTCATCTATAATTGATCGAGTACAAAATTCTGGGGTATTTTAGTAAAAATAGGGTGTTGGGCCTTGGTTCAGGAACAATCCCGCATTTATAACATTGTTTCTTATGAGAAAATTGGTTCCGAGTTACAACGTTTCAACTTAAGACACGGTTTTCAGGAACCAAATGTGTCGTAAGTCCGAGGACTGCTGGTATAATTAAATCATTAAAAAGGGCAATTAAACCACTAAAAGGGGC